GTGACCGGCCGGTGTAACGACGAAAAGTGACCCCCGTAGAATGTTGATCGGGGGTCATTTTTCTTACGACTTTTCAACTTTATACACAAATTCCCTACGATTAATTAAAGTCCAGGCTTTTCAACATCATTCACAGCTGCTTTTTCAAATAAAAATGGAACTCGTAAATTTACTTATCTTGTCATTGGTCATTCGCAAAATCATTTTGTTAAAAACATTCTGATTGTACACATAAGTACTCTGAAATCGATATCAAAAAGATGCTTAAGTTTTGTGTTTGTCAATATCTATGCTGTTTTTTTAAGACCAGGTCTTCCAACAATCTATTGGAATTCCCATGGGTACCAATTCATATGAAGCAGAATTTGTGCAAAATTTTATGCGTGAAAAGAAGAAATTACTTGCTGTGGCTTTCAACTCGACAATTAGATATATAGATCTCTCTATTGTCAATTAACAATTGTAATTTCCATTCTGATGTCGATACGATATATCCTAGTGAGCTTGAGATAAAAGATACCATAGAGTCTGACACATTTGTTTCATATTTGGATATTTTACTTGAAAAAGACGTTAATGGTAAAATAACAACCAAGCTCTATGATAAACGTGATGACTTTAACTTTTCTATCCTCAACTTCCCTTACTTATGCAGCAATATACCTTCATCATCTGATTACAGAGTTTATGTATCTCGGTTGATTCGATAAGCAAGAGCATGTACAAACAGTTTCTAAAACAAGATAAATTATTGACAAACAAGTTGGTGAAACAAGGATATCAGCAGTCTCGTTTAAAGTCATTATTTCGTAAGTTCTATGGTCGATAGTTTGCCCTTGTCCGCAAATACAATTTATCATTGAGTCAAATGCTGACTGAAGTTTTTCATACTTATTGTTAGTCAATTGTTTATACACTGAATTGACAACGGATTTGTCCCTTATTTCCCGATCATGACAAGGAGTACACGGCGGGTGTGACCGGCCGGTGTAACGACGAAAAGTGACCCCCGTAGAATGTTGATCGGGGGTCATTTTTCTACGTAGAAATTTGACCCCCTTGTCAATATTTAACGTAGAAAAATGACCCACTTTTCTGTAGAAATTATGGCCTTGGGGTGGTTTTTCTCCGTGTGTCTTGAAGAAAAATGACCCCTTGTCGGCAATTTTTGATGCAAAAACATTCGTCTTGGTAGGAATACTCTTGTTAGGCGAATGCATATGGGTAAGCTTTTGATATGAAGTGTTCATTTCTGAAAGCTTTCAAGCTTAAGGAAGGTCCATACTATTTTGGATCTGGTTTAATTTTACACACCAATTAAATTCTGATTACCAGTATCACTTGTCGATTGATATTGAATTTCTTTGGATGATTGAAAATAATTTAGCAAGTATACATTTGTTTATTATATTGTCATTATATATTTAAAGCATTTAATATACATTATTTATGGAAATTAACACTTTGTCCATAGGATCTATATGTCATTTAGTACATATACAGACACAGAATTCTTAATTGCCTTTATGGACCCAAAGTTTTTAATTTTTTTTTAAACAAACTAACATGAGCTCTATTTTTTTTTTTTCAATTTTAAGCTTAAATCATCTTTTCAATTTTTTTTTTTTAAGTTTGCAAAGAATAATTGAAAAAAAGATATTCCAAGAATGGGAGTGTACGAGTATACGTTTTCAAAAGGTTGGTTTGTTAAATTTATCTGGTCAACCATAAACTTAATTTTGTATTTTTCAAAAATATATTTTTTTGATCAGTTACGCCATATATGGCTTTAAACTTTTAAAAGTACATTTTTTTTTAAATTGCGAACTTTCCACAGGAATTATTAAAGGCATGAAAATGAGTTACAATTATAATACATGTATAATTAACAATAACCGTCCGTATTTTTTTTTTATTTCAATAGTGATGATTGAAAAGAATTTAAGTTCGGTGTTTGATAATAAATCGCTTTTTTTTGGGGGGGAGGGGGTTAAAATACTAATACAACTCCCTCCTTTTCTGGTTTTAATTAGATTTTGAGCCTGCTATCAATATACTGTATTATTACTGGTGGACCTGCAAGACTTTTCTCTATTTGCTACATGTAAATTGTACTTGAAACTTCCTGGCATTTAGCTAATAACTTTCCCACATCATTTTAACACGTAAAATTGTTAAATGAATTAGAATGTTGAAAATCTATTTCTTAGGAGAGTTATCTCAAGGTGGAACAAAACTAACATCTAATCTAAGGCAAGAAAATATAACAGTATTTTAATTCAGTATTTTAGTCGTGATAGGTATAAGTGAGGTCATGGGAAAGATTATGTCAAAAGTCATCTAGATACTCGTTGATGTGCAGGGCTGTACTTATGCATACAGCTTTAGCTTTAGCTGGTCCCGCGCTGTATTTCATTTAATGGGGTTTTTTTTCGTTAAGAAATCTGGTAAGGTATGCTAGTAAAAAAAAATACCGGTAAGTTTATTACCCTAACGGAAATTACTTTCCTACAGGCCTGGAGTCCGAGTCTATTAGTCAAATTTAAGAACGTCACGCATCTTTTTTAAAAAGAGTGGCATGTCGGCGAATAAAATGAAAGTAATGTACAATTTAGATAAAGAAATGTTTGTTGAAGTATTGACAAACTTCATACCTTTATACAATGAAATCAACAAAAACTGCACAAAAATACAATCGTGACAATTATACAATTAATTCTTTTAATAGATTGTCTTAGCATCCACTACTTTAAAAGCCGTTGTTCTTCAGGAAAACAAAACGATGCAAAATATTATAAACTTTTCTTTATCTAGAGAAATGGCCTTTGGAGAAAAGAATGGTGAAATTTGTAAAGTTTGTTAAATATACGAGCATATGTGCATTTAGGACCCTACATTGTAATTTTATGCGAAAAGTGCAGACGTTTACTACACGGGGATCTGCGTACATATTTAAACAAAAAAGAAAAAAAAACGTTTTATGTAATAAATATTATAACATTATTTAATTATTAATAATGTCTTTGTATAGTACGTTGGATTACAAATTTCACACAAAAACTCATCAAGACTACTGTATTAAATACAGTGTTGATTTCACATTGATCTATTAAGTCATTCTGATTTAATATACCGGTAATTATACACGACGAGAATTTAGATCTAATCAATACCTATAGAAAATTATTCAATTTCTAAAGAGAATAGTTTTATTTTAAATCAGTAATGAAAATTGAAATAAAAATTCTAAATAGTTTGTTCTTTCATTGAACATCTGAAAATAAATGTATGTTATTTTATAAATGTGTTCTCTTGCATAACTTTATTTATGAAATATACAATTTTTTAAATGATAAAAAAAACACACACACAAATCGTCATCTTAATTCAAACGAATTTTCGGTCGGAGGCTGTGTGTGTACATGCTTGACAACAGCCCATTGTTCCCTTTAGGTAGAAAACCGTCTCAATTCGCATAGAATATACAAAAAATACACAGTGACAGGTGTCTTCGCGGCACGTGTCTCCACCTGATATGGCACGTGAGGACAGGTGCCGTAGTTATTAGACAGGCCGACTATAGCGGCCTTTTCAAAAGTGTGGTTTTATTTTTTTGGGGGGGGGGGGGAGGGGCGCTTCTCAAGGAAAAAATGAAAAGCAATAATTCACCCACCCCCAATAATAATTTAATAAATAAAAAAAATCTTACTAAAGTAAAATACTAGTATGATAATACTCAGCCCCCGACCAATCCGATGGATTTTATCTGACCAGTTTACATTGATCTCTATGTAACCATACTTACTCTTCTATATTTTGGGTTTTTTTAAAGGTCAGACGATACGTTTCCCATTAAGTATCTGATTTGTAAATTTAATCTTAATCTTTTAATGTATAATAAATTTGTATACAAAATCTTTATTACTTTCTAAACTGGTTTTTAAAAATTTGAAACACTAAAAATGTAATTGTGACAAACCAACTGAAGTATTTTTTCCTGAAGGATTACCCCGGTATGCCAACCTCTGGTATCTCACACAAAATGCCTTGTAAGGTACCTTGATGATTTTTTGTGAGTACATGTTATAATGTTAATAAAGTAATTCTTCAATGTCAAAATATTTGAAAAAATTATAATTATATTATTGAGGAACGTCTCATCTGTCCTTGATCACTACATTTTATATAATCGCAACTTGACATATTTCTTTATTTACTTTTTTATCGATCTTTTTACCTTTTCTGTAAATAATTTCATTAAAGGTGCCCTTCCTTCGCTCTTGCATTTTTTCAAAGGAACATTCATCATAGACAGCTTACAAGAAAGTGGGATCGGAAATGATTGATATCTACATAACTGCACTTACTTTTCTCTATTCCATTTCACGCATTCTATACGAGTTTACCAAAACTTATGTGATAAATCTTTAAAATTGAATTGCGTTCACGGTGCTGAAATATTACATTTTATTACACAGAAATACACATCTAGTTATTTTAACTGTTTGAAGGGAAGTTAATTATTTTGATACAGCATGTAAACACTTTTAAAATATTTCTATAATTGTTAAGCATATGGTAACATCAGAAAATATTTAACTTTTTGTAGAATAAAAAGTAGGTGGGTTAGTATTGAGATATACTTTCAAAGTTTCTCTACCTGGGAAAAATGGGGGAAACTACACATTGGTGGCTTCCATGTCGGGAATCTATATGGAAACCACTGTGGCATGTTTCCATGGTTTCCTATCTTGGGAAACTTACGGGAAACTACAGGTTGGTTGTTTCCATGTCGGGAATCTACATGGAAACCACCGGGGCATGTTTCCATGGTTTCCTATCTTGGGAAACTTAAGGGAAACCACAGGTTGATTGTTTCCATGTCGGGAATCTATGTGGAAACCACTATGTGGTTTCCATAAAATGGAAACTATATGGAAACTACTGATGTCACGATTCCCATATGTTTCCATCGGGTTTCCAAATTTGGGAAAAACTAAGAAGCTACTGGTCTTTAACCTTTTCGTCAGATGTTGCATCCTTTTCTTCCTCGTTGCCCTGTTGTTGCGGTGGTTCAGGTCCGAATCCATAGATCTTAGGCTCCAGATCTTCAGTCAACAGAATATTTCGTGCAGCAAGTCTTTTGTGCACAAGCTATAATATGTAAAAATAATTGACTTAGTGGTCTACTAATTTTAAGACAGTTTATAATTCATATACATGTACATAAAAGGCCACCAATCAAACCAGAACCTTTCTGGATTCGAGGAATGCCATTCCCTTAGAGATTCCGTATACAATACGATGTAGTTGTTCTTCAGTGTCTTCTGCCCAGGCATTTTTCTTCTGTAACAACCAATCTCGAAGTTGTCCTTTCTCACAGTATTCTAGAACCATGAATGGTCCAACTGCAAAACGTAAGTAGACATTTACCATTCTGTTTAAAACATCAAAATTAAATGATGTGTCAGAAGCTACTTTTACACTTCAAAATGTATGTAGAAACTTTATGATTCTTTATTAAAACATCAATAAAAAAAATGACATTTCATGTCAATGGCAATTTATTTTTCTAAAATACAGTAAATAGTGATGACCAACATGCTTCATTATCAACGACAGCGCCCAGGAAATGGATAATATTTGGGTGTTCTCCAACTTCTTTCCCAAAAAAGTTGATCTTTGCTTTCATCATTAGCACGTTTTCTTCGCTGTAGCCACCTATAAAAACAAGAGAGAGAACGTGATTCCTCATTGATCATTTAACTTCAGTCGCATGTTTTCTCTACTCCGTGTTCAGCCTTCACTAATATAGGAATGGAAACAAAGAAAAACAGACAAATCTAAATCTCAAAGGTAAATTGTACCTTAAACGATGAATGGACGAAGCATTTAGTAAGCATAATTAGCTGAATGTCCTTTGGATACAGTCCTTTTTGGAGATCTTTTTTTATCATTAATCTGTATGTAATCTAACCTATAATCTCCTAAGATCTTTAATATTTTACGAATAGTACATACTCTTGCAATTCTTTAATAATGAAAAGCAACATGAGCAGTCCAGGAAGCTTTGATTTAACATACTTTTCAATTTTTAAATATCTGTGTGTCTTACTGTGTTACATGTAATCACGTTCAAAAGCGAGCCCATGTTTTCTTTTGTTTAAAATAATCAATTATTAATCTTATAAATCATTTGCTATTGATTGGGCATACAGCTACTTGTATGGTATTTTTATGTAAAAGTCTTACTTTTCAAAGTCTTTGCTACGACTATTTGTCTAGCTTTATAGATGTCTGCAAATCTTCCATTCGTTAACATGGCATCCAGCACAATTTCGGAACTGGGTAATATCCAATTGTCTGTTTTATTGAAATCCATTTGACCAAATACGTATATATCATCACAATCATAGCCAGGATTCTGCAGACAACGGATTTACATTATAATCACACTGAGAAAAAAATCACTTAAAATTTCATTACCTTAAAGACTTAACCATCTTGTATTTTACATTTATCGCCGAATATTTACAATTTTCGGCATATCCCGCAAGAAAACTGAATGGTTACATCATAAATAACTCAAAGACTAGACAGCATCACTTACATGGGCTGTCAATCTATTTGCGATGTTCTTTCTGACCACTGTTACTCTGTGTTGAATGTTTTCTCTTACAACAGTTAAACGTCCAAGGCGCCACAGAACGAACATGGTGGCAATCACCCCCAACATGATTAAAAATGCTAAAATGGAAGCTCTTAAGCTATACTATGGCATATTCCAAAAACTTATAAAGTAACCATACTGTTTTGTTTAAGAGAGAGAGAGAGAGAGAGAGAGAGAGAGAGAGAGATGTATAATTATATGTTTATTACTAAGAGAAATTCCTGCTATTGCTCCCCCGGTCAGAGCAGCTGGTGCCTCGGCTGTTTTGAAGTGTAGGAATACAGGGTCACTCCTCTGAGGACCATATTCTGTGACGAAGGACAGTTTGTAACTCGTTTCTGGATCCAGTCCTGTCAAATCAAACCAGTCGGCGTCCTTATCTACAAACCGGACGTTAACTTGACCACTGGATGACCGGAACTGTACTATAACCTTTGACCTCTCGTAACAAGTTGGAGGTACGATCCAATTCAGACGAACGCCGTTGTCATAGGTTGCAGTTATAGTTAAATTTATTGGACCAGAGTCTAAAGAGATGAGGTACTGATATCAAGAACCAGAAATGTAAACATGAGGTTAATGCATGCATTTTATTTTGGGATCTGAACACAGTTTAATTTTTGAAAAGTAATTATATATTAAACTCTGAAGATTACACAACTATGTCTTACATTCATCCATGCCGTTTAGGGAAGCTACATCTGTAATCTGTAAAAGAAATTTAAATGAGGTCATAAACATATTGAACAGAGTTACGGTACATAAAAGATTTCTAGTTTCGAAGGTTGTTAAATCCTCTCACGGTCTGGATGTAGGAAGTTGGTAACATTGCCATGTTGTAAACAGTAAGATTTAGTAAGACAAATTCCTGGGCGAATTTTTCCTTCGACACAACCATCCAGCAGTTATTGATGTCCACATCATGACGGTAATAAAAGAAGCTTCCTACGGACGTCGTGTATCCGGTCTTAAATCCAGGATCCACCTACAGTAACAATAAACCACCAGACATCATTTAGTCTTAGTTTTTTCTATCATATTTAATATAAAATATAAAACAAATATTCAAACAAAAAATTCCTTACCTCTGTTTTATTTCCTGGAATATCGCTTTCATGGAATAATTTGTTAGTACTGTTAGATCTTAGTTCTACGTGTATTTTATGTATACCACTCTGTCTGTCAAACGCCTCTACCTGTAGGCTGAGAAAATACATGGGCTATAAATGGCGATCTCAATTTTCAAAAGACTTAGAAATGTATCCTCTTAATTTCACTGATTTCAAAAAGAATCAATACAGAAAAATGAGAAGTTTTATTTCTTACCGACTGGAGAAGGCGAAGGTGGCATTTTTGACATTCTTTGTAAATGTAACATCAGAGGGTTTTAAACTCTTTGGTGAGCTTGAATCGAAGAAAATCTTTGACAAGTCGACTTTCGTATTCCCCATGATGTCAGTGGCTTTGGCCCAGAAATTAATGGTATCGCCATCTTTTCTTTCAATGTTGAATGTCTGTGTTTCAGAAAATGTATCATTCACCCTATACCAGGTCTGTGGGGTTTTGTCTCCCTGATTGCCATGTCTGTAGAAATATTCAAATTTCACGATGCCGTGAACATTCCGGATCTCCGCAAGTGTTCGTTTCCCTGAGTTATCATCAAGTTGGTATGGAACTTGTTTTTCATATCTTGCTTCATAATCGAAATGTCTATAATGTGTTACTGGATTTAAAAGTTTATTGTCGTCATGAAATTTGTTTTGGAAGTGTCCTTTCCACGACATAATAATGTTGTTGCTGAGATTATTCTGCCACTGATAGTTAGTTTCAGATGCTGCACTTTCTGCTTTGAATGGTAGTTTAGACAAAGTAATATTTGAGCCAGGGTCATATAAGACCAAGGTGCGGGCGTGCTGTGTATTGTTGGCTTTATCTATTACATTAAGTACCAAGGAATACATCCCTGCCCTCTTAGGGGTATAGGTGTAACTTGTTTTCAATGGCGTCAGGGATATTTCCTCATCTGGACGCCAGGGATTCGGTTCTGCTAGGTTGCTTGTGTTGAACTTCAGCTGATACACCTGTATTTTGTATTCTTGGATTCCAGAAAGCTCATCTTCCCAGTTTTGCCATGATAATTCCAAAGGTGACTTATGAAAAAAAAATATTAATTCAAATCATATTTTTACATCCAGTAAGGGTTTATGAATAGTTTTACTGTACTTTCTTGTTGATTTGCATGCATTGAATTATTTCTTTGAGTTGGATAAGACCATGTTACCTTTGTTATATCCTCTGATACATCAAAAGCTGTTGTCTGACATGCCCCGTCTAGTAGACAATGATATGGCTTCACCAAATCAAACCGGAACATTGTAGATTTTGTGGACATCCGGCCGATAAAAAAGTCTTTGTTTACAGATGACCCTATTAATTCTCTAAAGCCCCCGTTCTCAGTAAAAACCGTCAGGGTTAAACTAAGCAAAATACAAATAAATATTAGATATACATAAAGCAATAAACTTAAAACCAATCAGAAGCGATTTTTTTAAAGACGTCTTTTTAAAAAATATTCCTAAAAAGTAGGCTGTTAATAATTGTAACGAACGGTCCAATATTTTCACACAAATTGTAAAGAAAAAGTTGTGTTTTACTTGTCTCCATTTTCTAGCTGTCTGTAAAAGTTAACATCCGTGTAGTTACAGTGAAATACATCATCGTTTGGGCTGAGGGGTCCCGGCTTGCTTTCACAGTCGATGGTATCATTTCGACTAATAAATGGTTTGTCTTTATCTAGTAATACAGATTAGAGTACAAAATTAACTCCTGTTTCTAAGATAATTTATATTACATCAAACTTTTAAAAACATTTTTGTCATTTCAAAAGATGTTAATTATCATAAATTCACCTCTTCTTCCAACTTTGTGATGAATAAGGTTTATTCTTCCGGAAATGATTCCCATTTTAAACTGTTTTACATATTTAGGAACGGCTACGTTGTCTGGTGCCGAAGAAATGGCCGCAAATGTGACGTTGATGTAGTTGTAATAATTTTGGTTTACCCACATTGTATCTACTTTTGTAGAGTTTGGTTCAGAGGAATCGGTTACAAATCGGTACAGTTCCCTCCTCTTACCAGTTCTTTCAACATAAGCGAGAATGGAGGTACACTGCGTTATAATTGGACTCATCTCTGACGTCACTGTAAACATACATTCTCAAGGATCATATATGAAGGACACTCTTTGATCAGAAAAGTTAACATTGCTTCAAGTTTAGTGTGCGTCAATTTTTGTAAAATTAATGAAGATAACACAAAGATGATGTAAATCTGCGGACATATATATATGCCACCTTAACTACAGTAGCTTACTTGTTTTACAGCGTTGATTTCCATCCCTCCCAGTAAACCCTTGATGACATTGACAATCTACTGAGTTATTACACGTGCCGGGGAAGCAGGGCGATTGGTAGGAACATAAAGCTGTAACATAAAACATCAAGGTTTAATGGGCCTTTTAAGATTTTCATTTTTAAATGCGTGTACTTTGATAGCAATAACTAACAAGCATTTTAAAATGTTTAGATCTCAGTGTCCTTTTGCTTCAATCCATGGAGAAATGTATTTAAATACATTTTGAAATTTTCAGATATTAGTTTTTTCTAAAAATGGGTTTATGATGCTAGATCATAAAATATTATTTTGTTTATGTGAGCCTTTTTTAAAGCTAAAGATACATTTTTTTTGATGAAAGAGATATCTCTTTTCCAGTCATCCTTTAAATAAAATAATTAATTCTCCCTTTAAAACGAAAGCAAAACAGGAAGTAATAATTTCGCTTTTCAAGAAAAGCATGCAATACTCAGAATAATATATGTACTATGTTAACAAAAATGCTATAAATCCCTTGTTTGAAACAATAAATAATATAATCAACTTCGTTGATAAAAAAAATGCTAAAAGTTTAATATCTAGGAAAACGAAAGTAAGCATGAAATCTCAAATGCAATGGACCGAATTTTCTCAGCTTATGAAATAATAAACTATTACTCATTTGAAGTCTACTGTAGACAACACTGAATTACTTTTCATGTTTAGTTAAGCTATTACAATGTAGAATATCATGAATATGTCGAAATCTAAAAATACTTTAATGTACTTCCGTGAATAAAAAGCTTACGTCCGGTAAAGGGAGAAGCCATTTCAAATGGAATTTATATAAAAATAATGAAGAAAGATATCTCTTTTCAAAAAAAGAGATATCTCTTTTTGCATTAGAGACATCCCTTTTCGAAACTTTTGAAAGATATCTCTTTCACTTTGAGAGATATCTCTTAAGATAAACTAGAGGAGATATCTCTTTTACTTAAGAGATATCTCTTTAAAAAAGATATCTCCAAAAGTAAAAGGGATATCTCTCTAGGTGAAAGAGATATCTCTTTAACGTTCATAGATATCTCTTTTCACGAAAGAGATATCTCTCAAGGAGAAAGAGATATCTCGTCAAGTGGGAAGAGATATCTCTCATTAAAATAGATATCTCTCTCATAAAGAGATATCTCTCTAAGTATACGAGATATTGCTTTCACACAGAGATTCTCTTAAAAATGAGAGATATCTCTTAAGTTTGGAGATATCTCTCTAAAATGATAGGTATCTCTGCAATTTTAAGATAAATTTTGTTTTCCAAAAAAATAGCAAAAGGGCTTGCCATATTTGAAGACAGTGTTTGGTGTGAAGATTTCATTTCTAATTTACTGCAGTTATACTTACGAGTCTCACAACTGTGTCCTGTATGTGTACTGGTGCATACACACACATCCGGGTATACACACGTACCTCCATTTTGGCATGGTGACTGACAGATCGCTGATAAAATATTTAATAGCTTTAGAAAACTGTTTTGTTACAGATTGCAGATATATACAAAAGCTGGCTCATTTCTGATATAATTTTTTTAACTCGTTATAACGAGTTAGTTATCTCGTTATAACGAGTTAGTATCTCATTATATCGAGTTAGTTATCTCGATATAACGAATCAATTTATCTCGTTCTGACGAGATAAAAACTGGTCTAAAGTTGATATATCGAGTTAGTTATCAAAACCGAGTCGTTATAACAGCAAACTATTTTTTTTTTGTTAGTTATCTCGTTATAACCGAGTTAGTTCTCTCGGATTGACTCGTTATAATGAGTTAGTTATCTCGTTATAACGAGTTAATTTTTCTCGTTCTGATTTCATTACTATTATATATCTGAGATAAAAACTGGTCTAAAGTTGAAATATCTAAAGTGATAGGAAGTATATGTATTTTCTTCTGCAAAAATATTAAAAATATACGTTGACTTAATTATAAAAGATGGGACGGACCGGTTGCGATACATAGAAAGCAACCATTGATTCAAATAGTTTGTATTAAAGTGTGTGTGATAAAGATTTTATTGAAAAACAGCAAACTGTTTTTTTTTTTTTTGTTTTTCGAGGCGTTGTGTTGTGCCTGTGATTGTAGCTCGTTTATGTATAAAAGATGCAGTTATGACTGCCTCGTGATGTTGTGTTATGAGTGGGCAGTAGCCCCGAATTTGACACTCAAGACCTAACTGCTGATGTCTCCATATCCCCCTTCTTCAAAACATTTCTAAGTCTCAAAATAATATATAACACACTGTAAGTGTATATAATATATGTTGCATTAACGCCTGCACTAGCTTGCTATCATAATATATTAATTTAGGTACTTAGACATTGATTATGAAAGATAAGAAGTCATAGACATTGATTATGAAAGCCTAATAAGTCATCCAGAATAGATTTAAAAAAATAGTGTCTTTTATCGGAGCAAATTGTCATACATAAATTACCAAACTTTGAAGCATGTACATTTGGCAATTTATTTTTTTATATTGTGTTCTTGGAGACGTTCACCTGTAAATGTGTAAATGTGTTCGAAGAAAGATTGCTATACTTATCAAATTGTAATTATTGACAGCAAGATAGTTCGATATTAATATTATTCAAACCATATCGCAAATTAAGGATATCCGATCCTCAGCCAGGAAGGATAACTCCAAAAATTAATGATTAATTTTGAAATGCATTAAAATGAAGCTTGAAAATTTAATTTTTTCATGCAATAATTTTCATTTTATTAATCTTTATAAGATTCAAGGGTTTTGGAAATCTTAGAAAAGGACTTATGAAAGTTGATATTTGTACCCTATAAAAGAAAAAAAAAATTAATACAGTTTTAGAGAAATAAGATTTTCTTGAATCCAGGCTTAGATACCAATGCTTATTAGCATGATATGAAATACGAAGTAATTTGTGGTGTCTTGCAATGATAGTAAAAGCCTTTTACACTATTTACTATAGAATATATGATGGCAATAGAAAAAATACCAAATAAGTATAAAAATCATGACAAATTCTCTGAATGCCTGGATACCTATTCTTTTTTAACCAAAAATATATTTGTTGATCAATTTGCAATTAGAAAATGCACTGCAGATATTCCAATTCGCTTTTTCTGCAAAAATATTGGAGATTTGGCAATTTCCCCTATATAATATGATTAACTTTAATCTTTAACTTTAAAGAAATACTGTGGACAAACTTACATAATTTTGTGGATTCAGAGATACTTTTATGAGTATTTTTGATTACTTAACTGCTAATTTTATAAACCTGAGGATCGGACTACCTTAGATTTGCAACTTTATATCAATTCTTAAGTTAAGTACGACTGATACATGTAATTATCAACTAAACTTCAATGGCATTAAGACTACAGCCATTTTTAATTCCTAAATTGATTTAAAATTTGGAATTAAAGGGGCAACTTATTATTTTGTTATAACGAGATAATTATCTCGTTATAACAAGTTATAAAACTAATTCGTTATAACGAGATAACTAATTCGTTTATAACTAATTCGTTAAATAACTAACTCGTTATAACAAGAAAACTAAATCGAGATAACTAACTCGTTATAGCGAGATAACTAACTTGTTATAACGAGTTTAACTAATTCATTATAACGAGATAATCAAATCGTTATAATGAGATAACTAATTCGTTATAAAGAGATAATTATTTCGTTATAACGAGATAATTAACTCGTTATAACGAGATATCTAATTCGTTATAACGAGATAACTAATTCGTTATAACGAGATAACTAATTCATTAAAACGAGATAATTTAATCGTTATAACGAGATAACTAATTCGTTTTAACGAGATGACTTACTCTTTTTAACGAGATAATCAATTAGCTATAACGGGATGATTAACTCATTATAACGAGATAATAACTCGTTATAAGGAGATAAAGCTAAGTCGTTATAACGAGAAAATTAACTCGTTAAAAGGAGAAAATCAACTCGTTATAACGAGATAATTAACTCGTTATAACGAGATACTTCTACAATGCAACAAATTAACTGGTAAGATGATATTCCTTAGTGAAGAATAAGATGATATTCCATAGTGAAGAGTAAGATGATATTCTTTAATGAAGAGTAAGACGATATTCCTTAATGAGGAATAAGATAATATTCCTTAGTGAAGAGTAAGATATTCCTTAGTGAAGAGTAAGATGATATTCCATAGTGGAGGTAAGATGATTTTTTTTTAATGAAGAGTAAGATTATATTCCTTGGTGAAGAGCAAGATGATATTCTTTAATGAGAAGAAAGATAATATTCCTTAGTGAAGAGTAAGATTGCATTCCTTAAAGAAGGGCAAAATGATATTCCAAAGTGAAGAGTAAGATATTCCTTACTGAAGAGTAGGGTGATATTCCTTAGTGAAGAGTAGGATATTCCTTAGTGAAGAGTTATATATATATATATATATATATATATATATATATATATATATATATATATATATATATATATATATATATATATATATATATATATATATATATATATATATATATATATATATACCGGTATATATACATAAGATT